TATATGTGTGTGTGTGTGTGTGTGTGTGTGTGTGTGTGTGTGTGTGTTCCCTTGTGTTAAATTTTTTACACTATTAATAATGATTTTTAAAGCTTATTTTAATTATATGCTTTATTACATATAAACTGTTGGCAAATGTGATTTTTATTAATCAAATGTTTGCATTTAAAGCGTCAAGCTGCAAATTCAGGAGGTAGCGGATATAATGCGGAATAATGTACAGAAAGTGATGGACCGTGGTGAAAGACTAGAGGATTTGCAAGAGGCAAGCGATCGTCTGAATATGGCTGGAATTGAGTTTAGAGAAGCTGCGAAAAGAGCACAACGAAGAGCATGGTTACAGAACGTAAAATCGAGGATTATTATTATCAGCATTACTGTTACGATTGTGCTTTTTATTGTTGGTAAGAAAAATAGCAGTGTATATTACTTATACAATTGATAACGGTAATTGATAACAGCGCATGTTATAATGTTTCATCTCTTTCAATATTTCTTTGGATGGCTTTATAACCTTCCTGTTGTAATCAGCACATGTTTTACTCATTTATGTTTTATTCCTTCGGTGTATCTTTTCCTTATTTCCGGTATTTATTAGCATAAAATAATTCTATATCCTGTATTAATAATTAAGAATTAAAATTGATATTGTGGCTCGGCAACGCAGATAAATAAAAATCTTTATAAAATACTAATTAAAAATAATTTATGAGGTGTCTGTTCTGTAAAGTTAAACTTAAATCCTTGAAATTAAATTTAAGTTTAATCTTAAAAAATATAAAATTGCTATTAATTAAAAAAATTTAATTTTTACTAGTTAAAGAATTTTATTCTTTTTTATCTTATTTAATACTATTTATTTCTATTCTAATTTATTTTATTATTTGTTACATATATAATTTATTCACACAATTTCTTTACATGGATGATATTTTATTTAAATAAAAGTTTGAAAGTATCAATGTTAAAGCAACGTTAAATTATCTAATTTTTGAAATGCTGTCTAGTTAAATTATCGCATATCATTTTCAGTTCTGGACATCATGGTTCTTTACTTGGTTCTTAGATAGCGATGTTTTACACCTCGATTATTCAAATTAAGGTACATGAACTTTTACATTTCCTTTGAACTTTGCACATACAATAACGTTTCCATTCAGGGGCCACAATAATCTCGTACTTAAAAGTCATTAAAATTTTTATTGCACTGGTGCAGTGTCCGCATTCAATGTATGATTTAACTACGCGCGTATATATTAAAGCTGTTTTTTTTGCTTCTTTTCATCAATTTTTTGCATTTTAACGTTAATGTAACTGCTATTTCTACATATAATCATTGCTATGATTTCATCACGTATTCATTGTTATATGAATTATGAATTTGTGATATAAAAGATATTATGGTAGTATTTTTTTATTTTCAGTATCCATCGTCGTGAAGTACGCGTGAGTATCACATTTGACTGAAGAACCATCAATTTATCTACATGTTGTACATTAAAATCTTCCCGCGAACCAATTATAAGTATTGTAGTTATATAAGTTTTTCTGTATATATATATATATATATATATATATATATATATAT